CTCTCCTCGCTCTTTCCCCAATCAGGATGTGAATATTCCCAAGTTCCCACTCTCTTTAAAAAAAAAAAAAACAAACCCTTTACACCAAAGGGCCAGGAAGATGATCAAACTTGCAGGCGCACCATAGACCTGAAGCATACAGCAGGGGAGAGGAAGGAATCAAAACAGGTGAGAGAAGAGCACAAGGGACCGTGGTGATAGAGCACAGGTGATGTGGTAGTGGGAGAACTATCGGGACTACACCTGAGGGAAACAATCAAACACTGTACAAAAATGAACAATGATGTAAGAAACAAACAAACAAAAAGAGTTCCCTTAATCTTTGAGATCTTCTAGCCATCATCTGATTTTCCCCTTTCCAACTTATAGAAGTATAACATGCATTTATGGTCTCCATTACTACTGATACAATGTCCACTGTTCAAGCTATACACTGTTGCTTAATAAACCATCCAAAACTTGGGGCAAAAAACAATAAAAATAATCATTTTATTATACTCATGATTGTGTGGTGAGAAATGTGAGCAAGAATCACTGGACAATTTTGGCATCTATTGGAGTCATTCAGTGGTATCCAGCTGGTGGGGAGGTTGATCTGGAGGCTCCAAGATGGTTTCCCTCATTCCTGGAACCTTGGTGAGTATCTGGAATGCTCTGTGCAGTTGGGCTGCTCTCTCTCTTCATGTCATCTCAGGCTCTCTCCATGTGGTCTTTTTAGCAAAATGATTAGATTTCTTATACGACTGCTATGGCCTCCAAAAGACCAAGGCAAAATTTGCAAAGCTTCTTATTGATGCCGGTGTGCGCTGTTAATTTAGCTATTAAAATATTACGGCAGGTTTTCATTAGGGAACCAGGCAGCACTCAGAGAGGAGGAGGGAAGCTCTTTATTTACTCCAAGCAGGCTTTATACCAGCCGACCCAGAGGAAGTCTCTCTCCAAAGTCGGAGCTCTGAGCAATTAGGCAATAGAATATTTATTGTCTAAAGCAAGGAGTACAATCAGCTGGGATGCATGAATCAGGCGTGTGGCCTTGACAGCGCTTATCAGTTGTTCCCTAAAACCTTTAGTCTACAGGCTATGTGCCAACTTCAGCTAATCAACAGGTTCAGCCTGACATTTTCCACTTTAGAATACCACAGGTTCTTGTCCCAAGAAGCCATAAAAAGGAATTCACAGACACTTTAGATAAATAAGCAGAGAGAAACAAACTTTGTTTAAGAAAGTAAAGAAAAGTTTATTTGAAGGAAGAAAGCAAGGACTCCCAGGTACGCTATACTTGGGAGAGGCAAGGAAGCCTTTGTGGGTCTGTGTCTAGAGGTATTTAAACCTTTTTTCTCTCTTAGAGTTTACCTCCCCTGTCCAAGGTCTTATTCTCTCAAGTTTTACTGTTTTTGTTTAGTCCTCCTGGACTTTCTTTCTTTTTTTTTTTAAGATTTATTTATTTATGCATACAAGAACTGGGGTACAGGCCAGAGGTAGGGCGGGGTGAGAGGATTCACCAGAGACAGAGCGGGGAACAAAATAGGCAGATGTACTGAAACACACTGCTGAGAGGAGCAGCGGGCGAGACAGGAGAGGTCTGCCATGCCATGTGGGTTGCTCCCTGGCTGGACGGGGATCAGGAATCGAATTCGTGCTGCAGAGGCTGCGGATAGCCTCACAGTGCTGTGCTTAACCCCTTGCACCACCAAGGAGGTCCCACCTCCTGGACTCTCTTACTTCATCTCTGCAGTATATTTTGGTTAGTACCTCTTAGAATTTACTGTCCTTATCTCAGAAGCCTCTTGAACTCTCCCGAAGTCCCTGTCTATACTGTACCTGAAGCTGCCTACTTAACCCTAACTTGCCCCGGGACTCCTTATGACTTATCCTGGGAGGTCAAACAGCATCCCTTGTGTGCATTCTATCAGTTGAACCTATTTACAGAGCCCACCAGGCTCAGGAGTAGAGTACTACACAGAGGCATGATTACTAGGAAGGATGGTGACGGGGAGCCACATGTTAAAATCTACCACACCTATGCACTACTCAAACCACTGCCATCTGGCCACACTCCCTACCACTCTACTGAAATGCAGTATCTGAGGGAAAGGCCCGTTAGTTGTTAAATAGAATGCATTCTTTTCAGTGCTTGCTTTGCTTGCTTTTTCTGCTGAATTGGATCCCATTGGTCACTAACGCCTTGAAACCCTCCCCTCCTGGCTTCTGTATACCACCTCTCCTGATTTGCTCTTCACTCTTCCTCATTATCATTTATCTACTGGCGATGCCACAATCTACATCCCTGACTTCATGCCCCACAGATATTTCAAATATGGACAAAACTGAATTCATCTTGTTCCTTATACTTGATCCTCCTTGCAGTCTCCATCCTGTGTACACCATCCTTAACTCAACCCTCTAATTCCCCCTCATGTATTTTGTTACCAATCCCCAACCACTTAACCTACTTAAAAAAAAAAAAAAAAACTTCTCCCTGTACTCAATCCTCTCCATCCCAGTTAGTTGGTCTGGCAGATGGCTGGCAGGAATCTTGGCCTGCCATTCTAATCTATAAATTGTAGAGAAGTTAGTTTATGGCAATAAATGGAAAGAATGTTTTATTTTGTTTTTTAAACAGTAGTTATGAGGATAAGGGGCTAGAATAGTGAAGGTCCTCATGGGAAGAGGCATTCAGTTTCGTGGCAGTAGAATTCTGCATATCCACAAGTGAGTCAGCTCAAGGAAAATGCCAAATAGAGGCTTTTCAAGATCCTTACACCTGCACACAGGTGAGGACAGATGAATCATTGCCAGTTTACAAAGACATACCTCACCAGCAAAAAGCTGAAAGTTCATGTTATCTAGCTAATATGATTATATTAAAATTACCTTTCAAGTCACATCATCAGGCTCTAACATCCAGATCCTGGGTACAATTTCTTAATAGAAGATTCTTGCTACAATGACCACATGTTATATAACAGTAAATGAGAAATGGGGCCTCCTTGGTGGCCCAGGGGGGTTGAGCACCGCATTATGAAGCAATCTGCAGCCTCTGCAGCATGAGTTCGATCCCCAGCCAGCCAGGGAGCTACCCACACGGCGTGGCAGACCTCTCCTGTCTAGCCCACTGCTCCCCTCAGCAGTGTATTTTGTCAGTCTGCCTGTTCTGTTCCCCACTCTGTCTTTGGTGACTCCTTTCACCCCTGTGCCCCCCACCCCCGCATCTCTGGCCTGTACCCCAGCTCTTGTATGCATAAATAAATAAATCTTTAAAAAAAAAAACAGTAAATGAGCAAGTAGCTCCTATGAAGCCCATTTTCCTTCAGATATATTCACAATGCACATTGGGGGAAATATTTAAAAAACAACTACTTAAAAGTATTGGTAAGCCAGGCCTCCCTAGCGGCACAAGGGGTTAAGTCTCAGCACTATGAAGTTATCACCAGCCACTGCAGCACGAGTTCCATCCCCAATCAGGGAGGTACCCATATGGCGCAGCAACCCTCTCCTGTCTCGCCCACTGCTCCCCTCAGCAGTGTATTTCAGTCGATCCACCTGTTCTGCTCCCTTTTCTGTCTCTGGTGAAGCCTCTCACCCCCTCCTCCGCACCTCTGGCCTACACCCCAGTTCTTGTATGCACAAATAAATAAAATAAATCTTTTTTTTAAAAAAGTATTGGCAAGCCACTCAAAATATGCAGAAACTGGAATAGAACCTACACTTAAAAGAAAGCATCAGAACTAGGTGAGTTTCCCATTTTTTTAGGCTTTTATCCATAAGGTATACCCCAATCAGTACACTGATGAGTGGGTAAAACTGAGCATTACTGGCTTGAAGGCCAGAGGGCAGAGTTCAGGGTTTCAGCAGATGGAAAAGTGTGTGTGTGGGGTGGGGGAGGAGGGTAAAATCCTGGAATGGAAAGATCCTGACAGGTAAAGCCCTAAATTCTGTGCATAAACTCTGTCATTTAATCCCTGCCCAACCTCTGAACCATGCATGTATGGGGAGTCTCCAAACTGCCCAGATAAAGTTAAAATCATTGAATAGAAATTTTAGCTGCTGTCTGTCAACCACAGAGGAGATAAAGTATGGATTTTGAGTTCAGTTCAGTTAAGTGCCTGCTAAAATACACACACACACACACACACACATCAATACGCTTCAGAGGGACATAATGGAAACCAGATTTTCTAGAACTTGTCCTCTATAACATCCAGAAAAACAAGTTGAAATGAAAATGACTGGACTTACTGAAAACAGAAAAATGTGAGCCACACTGAAGAAAAAGGCAATCAATGAAAATGGGCCCCAAGACTATTTAGATGCTGGAATTAGCAGACAGGAGATTTTTTTGTTTTTTGTTTGTTTTTTTTTTTTTTCAGACAGGAGTTTTATGCAGATATCGCAATGGATGTAGGGGAAAATAAACTCATAATGAACAGGGACCAGCTGAAGTCCATCCAGTAAAGATGACCAACCTGTAAACATGGGTAACTAGTTCAAGGTCAACAAGAGACATGGCAAGCCTGGCAAGGAGCTAGAGTACCCCCCAAGATGGTCTTAGTTCCAATTCTCATTGTTTAGCATGTAGACCATAGAAACAGTCTTATAAATTGCCTCCCTGTTTTGGTTTGTTATTGTCTATGATCCCTTACCCTCTACATACACAGACACACACTATACCTACACTGAGTCCAAAAGTAAATTTTAGAGTGAACTTTAATTGGGATTTTTTCAATTGCAAGTGGTAGAAGCCCAACTTTCAGTTAAGCAAAAAAAGGAATTTATTGGAAGTCTCACATAACCAAAGGAAGGGCAAGGCTGCAGGGGTGCCTCAAGGACAAGTAGGACCAGAGCCTGGAACAGCAAATGGAAGGCACTGCTCGTCCTGCATGCTGATGGTTTTCTCTCAAATAAGCACCCTCTCCGGGACTGTCAAATGGCCATCAATAGTCCCCAGCCACATATCGCCCACAAGGTGGAACACAGTAATTCCCCACAATTAAGTTAGAAAAAAGATTTTTTTGAATGCTTCATGAATTTGTGTGTCATCCTTGCTCAGGGACCATGATAATCTTCTCTGTATCATTCCAATTTTGCTCTATGTGCAGCCAAAAAGAGCACTGAAAGATTCTGATTGTTCTGATCTATATCACAAGCCTTCATAGGAACAAATGAAATCCACTCTGGCTCTAGAGGTAAGGTACTGTGATTGACAGCCCCCACTAGAACTGCGCGGTTGTCCGGAGAGGAACAGCATCCCCCAAAGCAGAAGTTTCTGTTTCCAAGGGAAGGAAAAGATGCTGGACAAATAGACAATAAAAGTCTAAGTTTTTCTTTACCCACCACCTCAATCGGTGGCAACCCCATCCTTTGTGCAATCAACCACATCAGAGGCCTGGAATTTCTCAGTTAGCAGAGACTGCTAACTGTCCCCAATAGATGTTATCTCCTTCCCTCCACCTGGCATTTTGCTGCTGAGAACATGAGTGTGATGGCTGGTGCTCCAACATGTCCCCTGCGGAGAACAATCACACTATGGAGAGGGGAGTAAGCCCTTCAGCCTGTAACGTGAAAGAAAAAATTAATTTCTCCCTGTTTAATCCACTGTAATCTTTTTAAAGATTTATTTTTATTTATTTATGCACACAAGAACTGGGGTGTAAGCCAGAGGTGCGGGAGGTGAGAGAATTCACCAGAGATAGAGTAGGGAGCAGAATAGGTGGACCTGCTGATATACACTACTGAGGGGAGCAGCGGGTAAGATAGGAGAGGTCTGCTGCGCCATGTGGGTCACCTCCCTGGCTGGGTTTCCATGCGAAGTGGCTGGTGATAGTTTGATAGCGTGGCGACTTTAACCCCTGAGCTACTAGGGAGACCCTCCACTGTGATTTTTTGATGTCTGATGACTCACAGATGAACCCAGTCTTAACTGACATCCCTCTTGGTCCCCACATCCAATCACGTCAAAACGATCTAGAAGAGTGGCATGCTGTGAAACAGGTTAGAATGGACTAGAGCCAAACACCCAAGCTGGAATCTAGGCTCTGTCACTTACAGGCTCTGTGATCCTCAGCAAATTGCTTTATCTCTCTGTAACTCAGCTTCCTCATGCATAAAATAGGTTAAGAGGTAATTTTATCTTACCCCATAGGTTGGTTGTGTGAATTATGTATGATAACTCACGTAAGCATGGAGACTAGTGCCTGGCACCTAATGTGCTCAATGAGTGTTACTTTTTCAAACCTGCCAATTTTACCTACTAAAGATCTTGGAAGAGAGTCACGATCTCCACCCCCACCCCCTACTTCATTCCACTGCAATGTCCTGCCTCCAGCCCCACTCCTTTTTTTTTTTTTTTTTTATAGAGGCATGCTTTATTTATTTGTTTGCTGGTTTGTTTGTTTGTTTTGTTTATACATGCACTGGGTACAGTCAGAAGCGCGGGAGGGCGAGAGAATTCACCAGAGCCAGAGCGGGGAGCAGAGCAGGCAGAAGGACCGAAGTACACTGCTGAGGGGAGCAGCGGGCGGCAGGAGAGGTCTGCGCGCCATGTGGGACCCTCCTCTGGTGGCCGGGGAGCAGCCGGGGATCGAACCGGCGCCGCAGAGGCCGCGCGCAGCTTCGCAACCCAGCGCTCAACCGCTGCGCCACCGGGGAGGCCCAGCCCCACTCCTTTTTAAAAAGGATTTATTTATTTATACATAGAAGAACCGGGGTACAGGCCAGAGGTATGGGGGGTGAGAGGATTCACCAGAGACAGAGTGGGGAGCAGAACAGGCAGATTGACTGAAATACACTGCTGAGGGGAGCAGCGGGTGAGACAGGAGAGGTCTGCTGTGCTTTGTCAGTCATCGCCCTGGTGGGGGATCGAACTTGTGCTGCAGTGACTGCCGAGAGCTTCATAGTGCTGCGTCTTAACCCCTTGCGCCACCAGGGAGGCCCTCCAGCCCCACTCCTACAGGCATCCTCCACTCCGCCTCGGCCTTACCCCTCTAAACACCCCATCTGAGCAGAGTTGCTGTCTCATAAAATGTTACTTTTGCTTTTCCCCTCATCATTTTAACGCCATCCGTGGAGCATAGCAGAGAAATTGCAGGTAAGTGAGAATTAGAAGCACAGCATCTGAAGGACTGGAAAGAGACTCAACGTCTTTTCCTCCTCTGCCTGGTAAAGACAGAAAGGCTAGAGCACCCGACGGCTCCGAGGAAGTCTTGGGTGGGAATGGCAGCGCTCCGAAACCAGTGCAACGCACGGAAAGAACTCGCAGCTTAAACTTTTACAGAAAGGTGAGAAAAACTGCCTCAGACATAAACAGGAACTCGGCCTAGAAGGGCTGTGCTGCTCGAATCGCTCGACAACACTGCCGCCTGGTGGTCGCCAGCACCCCTCACCGAGTTCCTAGTCCTGACTACACTGTGAAAGTGGTAGAAGAGCCCCAGGCCAACAAAATATTCCCTGAGGGCCTCCCCTGGTGGCACTGGCGGTTGAGTGCAGCGCTGTGAAGCTGTCCATAGCCTCTGCAACGCCGGTTGGATGCCGGCCGGCGAGGGTCCCACATGGCGCATCAGACCTCTCCCGTCTCACCCGCTGCTCCCCTCAGCAGTGTATTTCGTCAGTCTGCCCGTTCTGTTCCCCGCTCTGTCTCTGGTGAATCCTCTCACCCTCCCGCGCATCTGGCCTTTACCCTGGTTCTTCTATAAATAAATAAATGAATCTTTTTAAAAAATGACTCAGAATAAAATATTTTACAAAAAAAAATTCCCTGAACTGCTCAAAAGAGCCTGTCACCATATCCTTCCGTCCTGCAAAGTGCTTTGTCCACCAGCTCTGTTATAGCACTACTGTCAACAAACTTACAGTGTAAATGCTGTGCCTAGGGCAGAGGTCAAGTTAGGCACAATGGGGAACCAAACTAGGTGGGGATATTAATAGAGAATTAGATGTGAAAACAAACGTAAAATGTCTACCTTCCTACCTGCCATAAGTGTTATTATAATATTTAACATCTGTTGAGAACTTAATATCTTTCAAAACTCTTAAGTCCTTTACATACACATATATTAGCTCATTTAACCCTTCCAATTTTCTGAGGTAAGTAATATTATTACTCTCATTTTAAGCTGAAGCAACAGTGGCATGGAAAGGTTAGGTAAATTGCCCAAGGTGACACAGGTCGGAAATGCAAGAATCCTGGTTCAAGTTTGGCCTGAGTGCAGAGCTCATGCTCTAGTTAAAAAAAAAAAACAAAAAAACATCACAGCACCTCCCACCCTGCCCCAGTGTCTGTTTGATGACTGAGTAAATAAAAAAAGCTCCTAGTAGGAGGTTAACCTGATCAAGAACTTGACTCCATCCCTCTGACTCTCACTGAGCCCCTCTCGATTCTCTCTATTCTATCCCTGCTTCTCGCAGCCCTGCAGCCTCATCCTCCCCACCTCCCCCCAGCCCAAAGTGAGTGCTCTCCTTTTACTCTCTGGTCTCAAATATATAGAAAAGTACTCTGTATGATTCTTCTTAACATGCTGACATTTTGAAGACATTGCTACCCAATTCTATGGTGAACAGAACATTAATGAACAGAGTATTCAAACCCAGGGTCAGTTCTGACCACCTGGTTCCCAGTGCATTTGGTATCTGGCTCCGTGGCGCAGACTAGGAATACGGTTGCCTTTTGGTGAGCACTTCCTCAGTGCAAAGCATGATGCTGTGCACTGTTGATGCATTCTTTCATTTGATCTTCTCACTGCAACGGTGAGGCAAGATGTTATTCCCATTTCACAGATAAAAGGAATAGAGCTTAATTTAGTTGCCTAGAATCATACAACTCATAAGCAAATAAGCAGAAAATCTGGGATTTGAAGAGTAGTCTGGCATGAGACCTGAGTTCTTGATCTCTTTGATGTGTTGCCTCCACCCTTAGTTTTTCTATCTCTGCCTAGTCTCTGCCCTTCTCCCGGGGATGGGCCTGGGATTTATCCTTGCAGTGGCTCAGTAGGGGAATCCGTCAACTATCTTATTGGGTTGTATTTCATTGAACTGTTTCTTTTTTTTTTAGATTTATTTATTTATTTATACAAGCACTGGGCACAGTCAGAAGCGCGGGAGGGTGAGATAATTCATCAGAGCCAGAGCGGGGAGCAGAACAGACAGACTGACGAAGCACATTGCTGAGGGGAGCAGCAGGCAGCAGGAGAGGTCTCTCGCGCCATGTGGGACCCTCCTCGGCAGCCAGGGATTGAACTGGTTCCGCAGAGGCTGCAGGCAGCCTCGCAACCCAGCGCTCAACTGCTGCGCCACTGGGGAGGCCCTGAACTGCTTCATACTCATCATTCATTTTCTTCAGTTAACTAACACTCACCCATTATTTCAGGACCAGGTCAAATCCCAGCCCTCCTGCAGCCTTACGTGCTCTCTCCAACCCACCAGTCAGTGGTTCATTCAGCAAATATTTGTTTCCCCTTATTCATATAATGTTCTCTCCCAAATTCCTTCTAAAGGAAAGGTTCAAGCCCAATAAACTTTCCAAGAGATACAGTGAACAATAAAGGTGAGGTAGGTCATCTCTGGAGAAGAAATTTGGTTCAAACACATCTCCAGGTTTCCCGTATCTATGAGCATAAAAAGAAAGGACCTAGTAGGGATAAAACCAACATGATCTCATTGGCTGCCTGCAGTTCTCATCCACTAGCCTGTTCATGAACACAAGCACGGTCACAGCCCCAGGGCAGTATTAGAGTCTCGAAGACATGAGAAGGGCCACCTCCAGCATTTCGTTAGTTCATACCATGCCCTTCTAAGAAGTTCCAATCCAAATATTCACACACCAAGATTATTATTTTATATGGAGATCTGATTATACCCTGAACAGAATAACAATTTATGAGCAGGGCCTTTCAGAATGGCACAGTAAGAACCCTTGAAGGTCCACTTCTCCAAAACATTAACGCTAACACCAGTAGAAATTATTCCAGTTAACCTTTACAGAACCCTGGAAGTGACCCAAAATCTTACATAATCCAAGGAGCCATTTGTTCAAGAAAACTGCTGAATCTTGCTAAGAAAACGGATTTTTGGGGCCTTTTAACACACCCTACCTATTCCCATCCTCACACCCCTGCAGA